TTTTGTGCTGATTTCATTTTCTAATAGATTTTGTCCATGTAGCGATGAGATGTTTACTTACTCCTCCAGACTTACATGTCTGGTTATCAACAACAGTTTACCTTGTCTGCTTGCTTGCTTTCTTTGTTTCTTTTTTATTACTTTTTTTAGATTTTGGCTCTTAAGAATAGTGCTGTTATAAATAACCCACTATGTGTCTTTGATCAACATATTAATGCATTTCTGTTGGATTTTTGACTCAGTTTTATGGTGCTGCTGTAACAGTGGTTCCGCCCTGTGAGTGCTTTTAAAGAACAGAAATTTATCGACTCAGAGTTCTGGAGGCTCAAGAGTCTTAACTGTGTCCATTCCTTCCTTCCTTATATATGGTTCTTAGTCATCTATGATTCTTAGGTACCTTGATTAACCTCACTTGGCACCTGTGTTCTCTCAGGTGGCTCTGCTGATGATCTGTATTTGATGCTTTATTTAGAATTCAGAAATGATTCCATTTAGGATCTACTCTACATTGCTTGGATCAGAGACATGTAAATCCTCAAAGTGACAACCTTTCTTCTTAGTACATTAAAGAGATATTTTGCAGTGGTTTTGGCGTGTAAAATACTTTCATAGATTTATTTGATTGCTATATACAAGTATTCAGGTCTTTAGTTCATATGGTAGCTATGAGTCCTCTACAACTCAACCATACTTAGCAATACCACCACCAACATAGAAAGAGCTGTGGGCCTTGTGGATAGAAAGTTATGCTACCAAGGCAAAGGTGGGTGATTTTAAAATTCAACCCTTAGGCCTGGTTTTAATTGTTTTGTTCAAACATTCTTCTAAGTAGTATAGCGCTTGTCTGTCCATTTGTTGTACAGAGGTAACTCCTGTTTGCTGTGATGCTAAACACTGTGACACTGATGTGTCAAATGCGATAATGGTTACTCACAGTAGACAGTATTTGGTGGAGCTTCCCGATTAAAACAAGCTTAGAAGCAGGAACAGCATCCACTTCCAAAATAGCTTGCCTCTGGAAACTCTATGAACTTGGAGAAACGATTAAAGTTATACAGGTGTCCAGGTCTTTCATTTATAGGGTCCCTATGAGTCGTCTATAACTTGACGACAATTAACAACAGCAACAACATTACTTGATCTAAGTGAGCCATGATATTTTCAGTTGCCTTATGTGCATTTGAAAGTTCACAGAAAGTGAGGCTGATTGAAGAAGAATTTATATGTTTGAGTTGTGGTTTTGGTAAAGAATCTTGAATATACTATGAACTGCCTAAAGAACACACATGTCTGTCTTGATAGAGGCAGAAGATATATGAAGATAATGAGATTTTATTTCACATACTTGGGCATGATATCCAGAGGGGCCAGTTTCCAGAAAAAGTAATTTTTCTTGGTATAGTAGAGGATCATAAGTAAAAGAGGAAGATCTTCAACAAGATAGATTGCCCTAATGGCTACAGCAATGGACAAGCACAGCAGAGATACTGTGAATGGTGTAGGATGAGGTGTGAATGGAGCAGGATCAGACAGTATTTCCTTTTATTGTGCAGAGTTTCCTGTGAGTCAGAGTGGACCTGGCACTCCCTAAAAGCAACTACACTCCTAGGATTCTAACTGATTGATTTATTACATTAGATTGTCTTACAGAATGTGTTTACATTGTTGTTGTTGTTGTTATGTGCCATCGCTTGCGACTCATAGCGACCCTATGGACAACAGCCCTAAACCGTGCTCTATCCCATGCCAATCTCATTGCCTCTGACACACCCATCCCAATTATGCCAGTCACTGAATCAATCCACCTCATAGAGGGTCTTCCCCTCCTGCACTGTCCCTCTACTCTACCCAGCATGATGTCCCTCTCCAAAGACAGGTCCCTCCTGACAACATGTCCAAAGTATGTCAGACGAAGCCCCAGAATCCTTGCCTCCAAGGAGCAGCCTGGTTTAATCCTCTCTACAATGAATCTGTTTGTTTTCTTGGCAGTCCATGGTACATTCAATACTCTTCTCCAGCACCACAGCTCAAAGGCGTCAATTCTCCTTCTATCCTCCCTAGTCATTGTCCAACTCTCTGATGCATAACAAGTGATTGCAAAAACCATGGCCTGTATCAGGCGCACCTTAGTCTCCAGAGAGACACCGTTGCTCTTGAGTACTTTAGAGAGGTCCCTAACTGCAGACTCCCATCGCAATACGTTTTTTTATTTCCTGGCTACTGGTGCCAAGAGTGTTGACCGTGGAGTCGAGTAAACTGAAGCTGTGAACATTACATTGGATTGAATTCCATATAAAAGTACAGGGAATAGGGTTCCAACATATATTGGGCATAGGATATTGCAGTTAAATCTATAAGAGATATGTAGATATGCTTTTGTTGGGTATTGTTATGTCAACTTTCTAATTTGTCTTAGTCTGGAAACTCAGCTGAAACCTGTCCACACTGAGTGATTGACATGTGAAAGTTGCATAGCATCTAATATCACAGTGCTACCAAACCACCATAGTTCAGCGAGCTGATGGATTATGGTGGGTTATGTAACTAGGAATGAAATTTTAGATGAAACTTCATTTTGGTGTCAATATACACTTCTAACTATATACTCACTTATTATTCTGCATGTGCAGTTCAATGACATTAGTTATGTATTTTCTATGCTATTACAATTTTTAACATCTCTCTTCATATTTTTAATTACCATTATTATTTTCCTTTTTTATTGATATTTTAACAAAAGTTTACAGAAATCTTGAATTTTCACTCATTCATTTTTTTTCACATTTTCCTCCCTACCCCTCCCCAGTTCACTTTTCGCTTTCATTTTTCTTTCATTTTTGCACAATTCCCTGTGCCACTCAGTCCACTTTGCTATACACCTCTTATTCTGGACTGTTGTCATGCAAATAATATTTAATCATACATTTATTTTAGACAGTTCTTTTCCTCATCTATTTAAATACAGTGTTCATTATTTATTCCCTTTTCTTAGTTTCCCTGCAACCCCCCGGTCAATCCTGCTTTATAACAGTGGGACTATTGAGTATTTGTCCCTCTGTGACTGAGATATTTCACTCCACATAATTCCTCCAGGGTCACCCATTTTGTATTATATTTCATGAGCTCTTTGTTTTTCAGAGCTGCGTAGTATTCCATTATGTGCTTCTCTATCCATTTATTTGTCTATGGGCACTTGAGTTGCTTCCATCTCTTGCTATTATGAACAGTGCAGCAGTTAACATGGGTGTGTATATATCTGTTTGGATGGCACATTATTATTTCTTTCCTATGATTTGAGTGAATGTTTGGAAAGCATATTGGTTTTTCCTTCTGATTTTTACCTCCAGTGACCATCTCATCTGTGCTTTAGACTATTGTCAGTTTGAACTCATATAGATAGTTCTGTATAAGATCCTAGTGCCCACAGCAAACATTCTATGTTAATAGCACTAATTTTATTTTGTTTAGGATGTGTGTATGTTCAGCTTCTCTCTTGTAGTATATTAAGTTCCTTTTGCTCTCTATCCTTGAGACCCTCAGTGTGTACTTTATTTTCTCCCTTTGTTATGTCCATGGGTCACAAAAACCTAGTAATCCAACAGAGTGCAGAAAGCCATTATCATGAACAATATTGTTAATATCACATGGTATTTGCATTCTAGTCACTACTTACTATTAATGCACCTTGATAGCATATTTGATCAATTTCAGGCTGCAGAAGTGGGTAGAAATCCTTAATTTTTGTAATTTTGATTTTGGTGGTTGTATGCTTGAATAATAATTATGTTATCAGTCTTCTGTCTTCCTTGTATAAATATGAATGATATCCTGTTACTAATAGTATTGTGCTTCAGGATAGATCTCTCAGGAAATGCTCTTTTGGACAATGACTATGACACCATTCTTAGTTTTTCATATCTAGCATAGATTGGCCAGTGCTCACTAATGCCTAAGAAATAGTTGGCATTCTCTCTTCTTGGGAAGATAGTTGTTGTTGCTGTTATATGCCGTTGAGTTCCTTGTGACTCATAGGAACCCTATGTACAACAGCCTTAAATCCTGCTCTGTCCTGTGCCAATCACACTGCCTCCGACACACCCATTCTAATTATCCCAATCACTGAATCAATCCACCTCCTAGAGGGTCTTCCTCTCCTGCGCTGTCCCTCCATGCTCCCAAGCATTATGTCCCTCTCCAAGGACAGGTCCCTCCTTACATCATGTCCAAAGTATGTCAGACGAAGTCCCAGAATCCTCGCCTCCAAGGAGCAGCCCGGTTTCACCCTTTCCAGGATGAATTTGTTTGTTTTCTTGGCAGTACATGGTACACTCAATACTCTTCTCCAGCACCACAGCTCAAAGGCATCAATTCTCCTATCCTTCATAGTCATTGTCCAACTCTCTGATGCATAACAAGTGATTGCAAAGACCATGGCCTGTACCAGATGCACCTTAGTCTCCAGAGTGACACCATTGCTCTGGGAAGATAGTAAACAATTTAAAAATAATGCAAAGTCTAATTATAGTTACTGTAGTGGAAGAAGAACATCCTTGGACTAAGGTGTAATTCATTAAAATTTAAATTCAGATAAACATATTAGTTTGTGTACAAATATGGAACTAGGGTAGAACATCATGTCCCAGTATCAATCTGTCTGCCCATTGAGACATTCCTGTTTATTCAGTTTAAATAGAGCATCCCTCAGTACAAGTCGTTAAGTCGTTAGCTACTCATTACAGGATTCAGGGTTAAAATTTAACTCCAGATTCCTTGGAAGAAATACCTGGTAACCTACTTCAGTGGTTCTACTCTGTCACCTGTTCTCTCAAAGTTCTACTTTGACACTTGTGTTTACCAGGAGTCTCAATTACTGGTTTTATTTTGTTTTAGTAGAACATCTTGTGATTGTTTCTTAAAATGGCCACCGGAAACCTCACTGATGGAATTGAAAATTTTGAAAGTGTGTTTTTCTTACGGCCTCTTCTCTTGTCTTCTTACAGTTTTCAGTGAAGATCTACACTCCAGCCTCTACTTTGTCAATGCATCTCTGCAAGAGGTAGTGTTTGCGAGCACCTCGGGGACCCTGGTGCCCTGCCCAGCTGCAGGAATCCCTCCTGTGACTCTCAGATGGTACCTAGCGACGGGCGAGGAGATCTACGATGTCCCCGGGATCCGCCACGTCCACCCCAACGGCACTCTCCAAATTTTCCCCTTCCCTCCTTCAAGCTTTAGTACCTTAATCCATGATAATACTTATTATTGCACAGCTGAAAATCCTTCAGGGAAAATTAGAAGTCAGGATGTCCACATCAAGGCTGGTAAGTACAGTTCTTCAGAATTGTTTCCTGCTATGCCTGCCTAGGGTAGAGGTGGTTTGGTCAATGATAACTATAAAAATGTCATCACAGATGAACATCAGTGAAATCTCTGTCATGGATTCATGCTGCTGCTGCTGATTTCTTTGGGATTTGAGAATGTTCCTTGGCAAGATTTCAAAGCAACTTAATTATTGGAGCTAACATTTGAAACTATCGATATGAAGTTGGTATCCCACTGCCTCTGAGTTGGTTCTAAAGGATAGCAACCCTCCGTTAATTTCTGTGGCCATTAATCTTCATGGCAGGAGACTTTCCAGCCTCCTGAGGACTGGCTGGTGGATTTGAACTGCTGAAAGCTCAGTAGGTTACACATTGCACCACCAAGTTGGTTTAGTGTAAGATACATTCTAATTTTAGAAAGGTGATCCAATAGAATGTAGAAATTATTGAACAATATCATTAATGCCACATGCAAGCAAAATATTGCTTACGATCTTCTAAAAACAGCTAGAACAATATATTGAGAGAGAACTGCCAGAAGTTCAAGCTGGATTTAGAAGAGGCTGTGGCACCAAGGATATTATTGGTGATGTTTCATGGATCCTGGCTGACAGCAGAGAATACCAGAAGAATGTTTATTTGTGTTTTATTGACTGTGCAGAGATCTTTGACTCTATAGACCGTAACAAATTATTGTTAACATTACAAAGAATGGGAATCCCAGAACATTTAATTGTGCTCCAGCAAAACTTAGACCAAGAAATTGTTACAATTAGGAAAAGTGTACATCAGGGTTGTATCCTGTCTCCATACCTATTCAGTATGAATGCTGAAAAAAATAATTTGAGAAGCTGGACTCTGTAAAGAAGAATGTGGTCTCAGGATCAGGGGAAGACACAATCTTGCTTGCTGAAAAGTAGGAGGAATTTAAATGCTTGCTGCAGAAAATCAAACACTACAGCCTTCAATATGGATTGCATCTCAACATCAGGAAGACAAAAATCCTCACTGCTGGACTAATATGAAATATCATGATAGAAAAGAAAAGATTAATGTTAAAAATTTACTTTACTTGTAGTAAAGTAAAAAATATTTAAAAGATTTGTTTTACTTGCAGACATGATCAACACCTTTGATACCAGCAGTCAGGAGGTGAGGAGACGTATTTCATTGGGCAAGTGTGCTATTAGAGACTTCTCCAAATTAGTGAGAATCTTTGACGGCTAAGGTGCACCTGATTCAGATCATGGTCTTTTCATTTTTTTTTATCTGAAAGGTAAATAGTGAATAAGAATCACAGAAGAATTTGTGCTTTTGAGCTCCGGTGTTGAAGAGTACTGAATATCCCATATATTGCTGAAAGAACAAACAGATATGTCTTGGAGAAAATGCAGCCAGAAAGGCTGAAAATGCAGCTCATTGGAGGCAAGGATGATAAAGCTTTATCTCACATTCTTTGGGCATGTTGCTGGGAGAGGCTGTTCCTTGGAGAGGGTCATTGTGCTTGGGAAGATGTGGATCAACACAAGAGAGGAAAATCCTCAACAAGATACATTGAGACAGTGATTGCAGCAAAGGGCTCAAGAGTGTCAGAGATTGTGAGGATGAGACAGCATAGGACAGGGTTAAGATCTGTTGTTCATAGGATCACTGTGTTGTACTCATACTCAAAAAGATACAGATTTTGACTGATTGACACTTTAACTCAAACTTTCAATGTCTTAAACGGAGCATATTTTGTTTATTTCCCTGACCTGGGGTCAAGAAATAGAGGAATGGGAGGGAGAAACAGAAGAAAACAAATCTAGAGTAGAAAACAATTGAAATAGGGGAAAGCTATTGCATTAATATATGTCATAACTAAAACAGAACCAGCCTGAAATATCAACATCCTTGTTAAGTAAAATCCTTTTTTAAATTTCTTTAATATATGACATTTTACTGAATTATTGTCAATATGTAAATTCAGAATCAGTAATATTCCTTTTAAAGGCACATGGATTTTTTTTTTCCCGTTTCATTGCTGTAAATCAACCCAGCAGTGCAGTTGGAGATGCATAGACATCAAAGACTGTACTTGGAGACACATTGTGTCAGATTTAACAAACCCAGGAAACCAAATTCACAGCTAGATTCCTGTTAGCAAACCACATCTTAATTTTTTTAAACTTAGCCTATCAAATACTTGGGAGACTGACAAAATATAATGGCAGGGCAAAAAGAATATGACTTTGATTATTGTGTTATGCACCAGCTAACTAGAGGAGCTTTGTAATATTATCTGCAGCAAGTGAGGAGGAGGGAGGTGAAGACATCGGAACATGAGCAAAATACGAGTTGTTTCTGAATTACTGAATAAGATCACTTTGATGTGAGCAATCAAACCTTAGACTGTGACTCTCTGTGCCAGTGAGTCATTTTCCCAACTCTATTTTGATCTTCATGACACACTCATGAGTTTCAAGGTCTATGCATGAATGTATTTAAGAATAAAAAGAATGACTTTAATCAAGAGAGCAAAAAAGTGATACCTTTGAATAATTAAAATATGTATGTCTTTCATCAGGATTTGTAAACCTGACAAACAAGGAGATGCAGTGAATACTTCTTACTTAGAAAATAAATAAACTCACTGTAGTCAAGGAGATTCTAACCCGTAGTGGCCTCCATAAGGTTTCTGAGGCTCAAAGTCTTTATGGAAAGAAACTACCCGTCTTGCTCCCTAGAAGTCTGCTGTTAGACTCACTCTGTCAGTCTGTCTTGTTGGGGTCTTCTATTTCTCTGATCCTCCAGCAATGGGCTTGTGCCTGACAGATACTCTGAGGGTTGTGCAGAATAGCGCAAGGTCAGATCTCTTTATAGGGTTCCTGTGAGGTCTAGTGGACTTTATGGCACCTGTCCACACAACAGCAGTCTACTTCAGAGGGTTCTCTTGAGTTTTTTAACTCTCTTGTTGGTTCAGTTGGAATTGACTAATTGTTGACTCTCCACTGGATTTATGAAGCTGCAAATTTGAAGGATGGGATTTCTTATCTTTGTCCCAAGGAGCTGATGGTAGATTCAAACTACCAGAGAGGCACGACCTTTGTGACAACTTGAGTCCAGCTAAATCACCAGAGATCTCTTTTGTCCTTCTACACCAAGAGGAATGATGAGGCTATCTGGTGCCATGATGTCAGAATCAACTTGGCAGCAGTGGGTTTGGGTTTGGGTTCAGTCACCCTTATTCCTATGCACTCCAGGTCTTGATACTCTTTTTGCAGCTGTTCTTCTGTATATGCCTTTTTTTTCTTCAGCTAATTGTTCATCTCACAAAGGTGAGAATTTCTATAGTGTTTCAGATAGTGTGTGATGTATAGTATGCTTTCAAAATTTACTTATTACCTAAGAGTTGTTGTTATGTGCCGTTGAGTCGTTTGTGACTCATAGTGACCCTATGTACAAGAGCTCTAAACACTGTTCTATCCTGTGCCAACCTAGCCATCTCAAATGCACTTATTCCCACCGCTCCAGTCACAGAATCGATCCATCTCATCGAAGGTCTTCCTCTCCTTCACCGCCCCTCCACTTTGCCAAGAATGATGTCCCTCTCCAAGGACCAATCCCTCCTTGCAACAAGCCCAAAGTATGTCAGACGAAGCTTCAGAATCCTTGGCTCCAAGGAGCATTCCGGCTTCACCTTCTCTAGGACAAATGTATTTGTTCTCCTAGCAGTCCATGGCATATTCAACACTCTTCTCTAGCATCACAACTCAAAGGCATCAATTCTCTTTCTATCATCTCTATTCACTGTCCAACTCTCTGATGCATAGCACGTAATTGTGAAGACTATATCCCGGATCAGGCGCACCTTAGCCTCCAGCCTGATGTCCTTGCTCTTCAGTACTCTTGAGAGGTCCCTCACAGCCGACTTTCCCAATGCAATTCGTCTCTTGATTTCCTGGCTGCTGTTACCAAGAGTGTTGATTGTGGAGCCAAGCAAACTAAAACTGTTAACTATCTCAATCTCTTCACCATCCATACTGATGCTGCCAATTAGCCCATTGTTGAGAATCTTTGTTTTCTTGATGTTGAGCTTCAATCCATATAGGAGGCTGCAGTCCTTGACCTAACAGTTGCTCAATTAATTTATTAAGATGTCAGCTATGAACTAAATGCAAATAATTTTGTATTGATGTCATGCTATTTCCCCAACAGGACAGGCACTCTGCCTCCTGCTTCTAGTTCTCTGGTGTCTGTAAACATCTGAAACATGGAAAACTGATTGTTTTGCCATTTTTTCCTTGTTGTTGTTCTGTGACATTGAGGTGCCTGTGACTCATAAACTATAGTCTTATCCTGAACCAATCTCACTGGCTCTGACACATTTACCCCCATTACCCCAGTTACTGTGTCAGTCCATCTCATCTGGAGTCTTCCTCTCCTGTGTTCACCCTCCACCTTCCCAGACATGATGTCCTTCTCCAAGAACTGGCCCTCCTGGCAACATGACCTAAGTATGTGAGATGGAGCTTTAAAACCCTTGCCTCCCAGGGACAGCTTGGTTTTACCCTCTCCAGGACAGACCTGGTTTTTTTGCTTGGTAGTCCATGGTCTGTTTAATACTCTTCTCCAACACCACAGCTCAAAAGACATCAATCCTTCATCATTGTCCAGCTCTCTGATGCAAGTAATTGTGAAGACTATGACTTGGAGCAGGTACACCTTCGTCTCTAGACTGACATAGATGCACTTTAGCACTCTGGTGAGGTCCCTGACAACAGATTTTGCCAATGCAATTAATCTTTTGATTTCCTGACTGCTGGTGCCTTGAGTGTTGATTGTGAAACCAAGCAAGCTGGAATTGTTAACAATCTCAGTCTCTTCTCTATCATGATGCTGCTAGTTGATCCAGTGGTGAGGCTTTTTGTTTTCTTGATGTTGAGCTTAAACTCATATTGAAGACTGCAGCCCTTTATCTTTTGCAGTGAAACCCTCAAGTCTGTAGCTTCCCTCTTTTT